ATATATATATATATATATATATATATATATATATATATATATATATATATATATATATACACTAGAAATGGTATCAAAGACGATATCAAATTCTGTACATTTTTTAAGCGTAATTCCGTCCAATTGTAACATACAAAGAGCTTTCGAAAATTCTGGAATAAACATGAATAGAGAATTGTTTAACTGCGAAGTACAATAGCCAACTAATATTCGATAACTAGACTGTGAATTTTAATGCAAAATGAAGGTTTCTGGAATCAATTGCAAACAACAACTATTAAATCAAAATTTAATTTTCAGAATTTAAATATTTTACCGTTTTGCATTTCGCATATTCATTTCAGATGCAAAACTCGATGAAACATGTATTAAAATCAAATCATAATTTAATAGATCATTAATTATAATTTATAATCTCGTAAACTATGTGGTTGCTAACGACCTCGCAGTTAATGCAACTAATAAAAATTTAAAAAATTAAATAATTAAATTAATGCAACTAAAATAAATAATAATAAACATGGTCACATTATTCCAATTGGACTGGTACCTTCCCTTGATATAAAAATCAATATCTATTGTGTATTAACTCTTTAAAACTCGTCCACAAAATCTATAAATAGAATGAACGTCTGCAATTTATTTTTTATATACTTATAACTGATAAAATTGTGTAAAATAATTAAATGGAAACGCTGATATAAATTGTACAGTATCGGATTATTTTTCAAGTTCTTAAATATAAATATTCGCTGTCTATTCCTGAAGCTGCCTGTTATAATTAATATTGTATCGGCGGCCGCCGCATGTTATTTTTAATAGGTGCATTCTATTTGCAAGCAGCAAAGATTACATTGCACGCATGTATGGGCCCAGTAAACAGCGATACGCTTTCATTTCCGTAAAAATTACTGGTGCCGTACGCCGGGGGAATAAAATTGCAAACGGAATCATTCGCAGTGGAGCGGATCGAACTTCGATCCTATATTTTTCAAAAGTACGAGCTATCAAAGATGAAGCTTCAATTCAGACTGAAATGGAGCACGTAGCCCTAGATTCCTCGCCTGTCTATATCTATATTCTCCCTGGACCTACTTATTCTGTTTCTTTCTGAAAGCTTTCCAGCCTGGCAGTTCCCTTTATTTTCAGTTTCCTTTTCACTCAAGGTCCGCGTGCCACATACCAACCAACCCGACGTGTTAATTCAATTGTGACCTTTACCCGCTAAAGATCAGCGAAATCGAAGTTCTCACAGCTGTACAAAAATAAGTGCGCGCCTACTTACGAACGGAATTAAAAATTAGATCGAGATAAGAATATGTGCCTATTTTGAAACACCGTCATAATTGTGACCACATCTTGAAACAGTAACACAAATAATAAAACAACAAAAAAGATAGATGGACCATATTAAAGTGGATGTAAAAATTCTACCCATACTTTGAACATTGTTCTTTATACATTCACTCGCATAAATACTGTTGTATACCATCGAGTGTAAAATAATATTTATTCGAATGCGGGTGTTTCTGAGCAAGAATATACTCATCTACGTTGAGTACTTCAATATTTTTATTGTCCCGACTTATGGAACTGTTGACGTCCGAGTTTAATATGCAGTGGTGGATTATTAAGAAAGAGAACGAAGAGCAACAAGTAATAAAACAGGAAGAAGCTTTAAGGGAAAACAATTACAGAAAGGAAAAAGAAGATAGCCGAGGAGAAGAAAAAGTTGCAGCAGAAAATGCTCGAGATACAAAATAAACTTAGAAATTAAAAAATGTAATTTTACAGTTTAGGATAAATTTATAATGTCAATGTTATAACGTTTGATGTAGCATATACGTTTCTTATTAACAAATATAAAAGAATGAAAGAGGAAAGCAGTTATTCATTTAAATTATTCTGCGTGAATTAACAAATATAATAATAAAAAACGTATCGTATTGTTTGTAATTAAGAATATGCATGAATGTGTTGTTAAAATAGAGGAACATTGAATATGGAACGCGGTCACATGGTACGAAAACGATGATCCGGAATAGATACCTGCATGCTTGTACTTCACTATTTTAGTGGTATTATTTTTTCTTTATATTGAACAAATATTTCAAAGTTTATTACGTTATCTAGAAACATCAATCTATCGAACAGTAATATAAATATTCAACAATAAACACTTAACTTTAACCTTTGTGCTAAATATGAGCCGTTTATTTTGAAAGCGGCATAAGTCACTTTACCGTAATGAAAAGTGGTGATT